AGCGACCGTGACCTGAAGTCCCAATGAGAATCTCGGCATTCAGAAACTGGCAGGCCTGTCTGATGAGATCCAGGAGATACCACCTTGGAAGTGACTGTGGAACTGTTCGTTGGAAAGGTAAAGAGAGCACCGACCCGGTCTGCATACTGGTAGCCATCGGTCCCGCCCCATATGGCGTTGCTGTCGTTGGCAAATGAAGGTTGGACGTCAGTCGTATTTGGCCAGTATGGATCGGTGTACATCCCAGAGAAGAGCACAGCGTTGGTGGGGGCTGTATCAAAATGTCCGCAGAAGTAGACTTTGAAGTCTCCACCGAGGGCCCAACCTTCTCTGTACACGCCGTAACCGGTGTACCAGCTTCCGTCGTCACTGTGCTCAATTCTTCCGTTGCTGTACCATTGGGATTCTTTGCCACGAGTGGGTAGGTAGTGGCTGAGATCGACAACAATATGCCGGTCACCATTGCTTGGGAACGAGTATTTCATGATGCCGCTATGCATGCTTGCACTCATCTCTGCCACGACGCCGTTCCGAAGACTGGTCTTGTAATACCCCACTGTCGCCGTGTCGTGCTCCGTTCTAGACTGCATGTACGTTAAGTTGTCCAATAAATTCACACCCTCAAGACTGGCGAGCGGCATCTGTGGGATCAAGCCGTACGTTGGCGCACCACCTGTGCCACTAACATGCAGCATGGAGATGCCTGTAACGTTGCCCTCAGGGGTGTATCCCGCGTTGGCTTGGTAATTTGTATCCCATCGAGTTGTGTCGATTCCGACCTTGACGGCGCCGAACGGTAGAGTCGCTCCGGGGAAGACATTGCCGCCTTGATACGCGGAGCCAGGTGATGGGCCTTCAGTGCCGAGGAAAGGATTGACGTGTGAAGTATAGTCCCTTTCTCTTCCAGCTTCACACGGTGATATGACTCCCGCCAAGTTGACAGAGATGGCGAGCCGAATCCTCATACTTGCGTCTAGGTTGGGCCGTATTGGATACAGACATGCTATGAAGGGGATATGGGCGATTATTCCGGGGTGTGCTTTATAGATATTCTCACTCCTCGCTGGTCCGATACATGGCACATCACTTTAATTAGGCTCCATTTAGCCAATAAAAACCTGGCAAACTCATGGACTCCACGATCCCAAGTGCCGACTAACCCCACCGCTGACGTATATCTCTACCCCATCAGTTGCAGATCTTAGACGGATTACATGACTCTTCACGGATATTTCTCCGCAACCCCTCACCTTTTTAAAAGACAACTTGGCAGAATGACGCTGCAAAGCCGATAGCGGAGATAGGCCTTTTGCTCTGGAGTTCAAGGCGACCGAACCTACCGGTTCTCAAGCCAGACGTGACTAAAAGTTGGTATTAGTAGGGAAGTTGGGACAAATGCTCTTCACCATGCCTACATAGTATTCTTGCCACTCTTCCTGGATCTTTATTCTTCAACGGGCAGGTTCAGTTAAAACTCTGCCGGTCCTTCTTAGCCGTTCAACCAGCGAAGCTATGAGAGACCGGCTCATGTGCCTCGGCGCTCTACTCCGTGGCATCCGACTGAAGTGCCACCACCCGTCATTGACGGCTTTGGAGCCTCACTGAGCAATTGTTCAAAGTCAGATCTATAATCTATGATATGCACGTCCCGCCGCCTGGCCCTGGGCGCAAAAGTGTCGACGGCACTCGTCAGAAGCCGTCAAGCCAGCTTCTACATACATCTTCCCATTCCGGATTGGTTGCGAATTCCAATAGTGCCGTCCTGGAAATGGACGCTGAGTATTTGAATGAAGCACCTTAGTGACACCTTGTGTCACGGTCTGGACCCGCTAACGCTATATATGTCTGGGGCCCATACATCTATAAATACAGCCAATTTCAATGAACGATCTTGATTCAACGGCTATCCTTTTACCTCAATTGAAGAGATGCCGTAAGGCACTTACGACTGTGTGAGGGCTGTCACTAACCCCTTTGGGGCCGACCGTAACACTAGGGAGCTCCTCAAAAGCCCTTCCACGATGTAGTACAATTGACATGCTGATAGAGGCTCTCTTGTTCTTTTAGCAAGATCATCAGATCGTTGGACTTAATATTATGGTTGGCGTGACGAGTAGAGCTCGATTGATTCCGTGTCTTTAGAGTATAGCCCCAGAAGATGCCACCTACTCGCTTAGCCATAGCTTCTTTTTTTGTTGAGTGTTTAGGACATTTCTTCACATTGTAGCGCCGATCACAGATACCATCATCGTATGAGCACCGATAGGCTCATAATCACATGCTTACTGTGTCCCAAGGCCTTCACTGGCCAGTACTTCTATACTTCTAGTGCCGACTGATAGCAATCATCAAGTCCTTAGTTTCGGCCTTCAAGCAGCAAAGTTATAGGCATCGGTACATCTGACCCACGTGGCTAACATGACAGTCACGTGCAAGCATCGAAGATCATCTGGCGGAAACGGCAGGAGCGATCCACAACGAGAGTGGTTCGAGTTTCCGGAAACAAACCACGGGCTGTTTTCGACGAACGTAAACCACTTTTCATGTTCTTTCCAGAATGGTAGATATGTGACTAACACAGACTTTGGCTTGTGTTGAGATTGGATGAGGGGCTCGTGAAAGGTTGACATCCGTCCAAAGAACGTCGTTGTTGGGCTCTCTCGTAATTCCGAGTTCAGCGCATCGCGAGCTATAGAGTCACCATCACTTACCCTCCCTATCCCTGGAAGCCCGGATAGACCGGTGGTATAACGGTATTTGAACGACCGCCCTCAATATTTCCATTCATGGCCACGACATAGAACTCATAATTCCACGTGCCGGGGAACAAAAAGGCAACGGTATGCGAGTTATCCGTGGCAATGGAGTACTCATCTGTCCGAAAGGCCTCGTTCGTCTTGTGATTGCGGAACCACACACGATAGCTGGCAAAGTTTGTGGTGTGAGGCCAGCTGAGGAGAACCGTAGTTGGGTCAGTGTTGCTGACACGAAGACCTTGAATCGTCCCAGGCTGGCCTGCACCGACACGCACCGACATGCCAATAGTGGGCCATCCAGGGCCGGAGGATACCCATGTGACAATGGCAATAGCATTTCTGTGACCGGCTGTCAACCCATCGCTGACGGTAACGCTGGTCCCTTGGACACCGCGGCCGTTGGGGAATGTCGTCCCTGTCGCATCGTTATCAAAGGTGATAACCTCGTAAGAGATGGCCCCAGGCACAGCGTCCCATCGCAAAAATATGGAGTTTCCTCGAGGTTCAACCCAGACATTGTTGGGTCCCTTCGGATTCGTTGGTTTTGCAACAGCAGTAGCGGTGCCTGACCATTCAGACGTCCGGCCAGTTCCCATATTCGTCCGTACCGAGTATTCCCATTCTTGTCCTTCAAGGACCCAGCTGTTGTCCCAACGGTTCACGGGCCAGGCGATACCGGACGGCCAGTATGACCACTGGCTCATTCCCTTCTGACGCGAGCGGACCTCATACGCATTCGCACCCCACACTTTGTCCCAGGTGACTTTTAGACCCCACGGAGCCTGTGATACTCGAACATTGTTAGGAACCGTGGGGGCCTTGGATGCCGGGAAGCTGCCTGGAACGGATAATGCTGATTTACCCGCACCCATCTCAACAAGAGTCTTGCTGAAGGCGTGAGCGATCTGGTATTCTCCCTTGGGTCCCGGATGCAGTCCATCGTAGGCAGCTGAGCAGTCGCCAAGTGGAGCACAGCTATATACAGAGTTTACGTCGACGAGCTTGATAGGAGAGGATGGTGTGCTCCAGCCCGGAATCGCATTCTTCAGCATATCGTTGTAGATATTCGTGTTGGTTACAAGATCGTCACGGCCCTCGATGAAGGTTCGATGGATGACGTTAGCAATCAGGATGCGGACGTTGGACTTTGCGGCACGCGCTTCATCAACGATGGCCTTCATACTGGCTAAGGTGCCGTCAGGCCCACTCACCCACCAGCCAAGATCGTTGAATCCAAGCATGACAAGCAACCAATCTGGCGAATGTGTTGAGACCTGACCGCGAATCTCGTTCTTGACCTGAGCAGCTTGACAGCCCCACAAAGCCCAATGATTGCTATTTAAAGGAGACACCGTTGGCATATGCTCCGCCTGTTCGGGGCGCGTCTGGCGGTACTGGCTGTGGCTTTCGTTAGCAAGCTGCCACCGAGATACCGAGGTGATAGACATACCCCAGATCCGATCAGACGGGGAGGTTTCGGGTCGCTCGGCTCGGCGTTGGTATGTGTTCCCGGTCCAAGGACCAACAAAGTTCGGGGTAATGCTCTCCGACTTGAACCACTCCGCGAGGCGGAACCTCCAGGTATAGTCGCCCTCAAACCCTTGAGTAATCGAGTCTCCTACAATCATGGCATTGATGACGCCAACTGCAGGCCCAGGCGTACCAGGATTTGTTGGGTTGCACCCGTTACCGTTACCTCCTGGCGGCTGGCCCGGAGAGCCGTTGTCGTCTCTCGCAGGATCGAAAGGATGAGGGAAATGCTGCATTTTACACACTGCGAGGTCTCCGCCGTCTGGAGGGAATTTGTCGTCACACCAAGCAGTCAAGGAATTCTTGAGGTTGGTCGTGAAACTACCACCAAGAGCAAAGCTCGCACTGCCAAAATAATGGGTTTCCAGGGCCGACCGAAGCTCTGTTGTCGGAAATCCAAACCAACCAACCAGATCGCCAATTTGCCAGTCATGGCGCTCATTCTCCTGGTATTTATCATCTTCCGCATTAGCAAAGCGGAAGGCACGAGTCTGGAACCAATCCTTGTGGTAAACTATCTAGATCAAGGATGGTAAGCAACGTATACTTTGGGTTGTCAGGCCATAATTGTTTACCTTTGGGTGTTCGTCCTTCCAGAGCACTTTATCCTCTGGGTTGCATAGCCATTCACCATGCTGAGACACACACGCATACTTCTTATTGTTGGCTCGGTCGTCAGGAACCCAAACTATGATGTGCTCCCAGTCGTGTTTGTGTGCACCGATATCAGCGTGGTCCTTTTCGAAGTAGTAATCGTACATGTAGGCACACCAGCCGCTGTTGCATCGCTGACGAGAACTGAGCGAGTTGTTAGAGTGGTTGCACATCAATATGGCTCTGGGTAGCTTACTAGACATTGGTGTTATCAAGGTCGGCGAGGTCACGACAGTCTTTCGTAGTGCCATCTGGTTCAAGTCCCTCTGAAATCTTTCCATCACAGCCAATGGCGGGTACGTTGTAGCAGGAATCGGTATCAAAGTCTAAGCAGGTCAGAAAATTGCGCAACTAGCAATCTCAACTGTACTTGCCCAGGGCCGGCTGGTAACGTAAGTCGTTTTCTGTCGCCCTTTTCGGCAGCTTTTGGGGAGGTGCAGCACGCCTCTGGATAACAGAAGAGTTCGATGGATGGACAAGGGCGAGATACAAAACCAGGAGCAATACGACCCTGTGCAAAGCCGGCTGCCAAAGGCCTGGGGAGAAAATAGCGTGAGCCATCGTTGTGTGTCTACCTCGCAACGGGTAGGTGCATTACTTGGTGCCTCACCAGAACCGAGTCACCGTCTTATGTAGTAATTTTGCTTCCACATAGCCCTCACGATGCATGGCCCGCTGCGGTGGTTGATGAGGGGCTGGGCAGTGTTTCGGACGAACTATTGTCCGATTTCTCAAGGCAGATTGGTCGTGGTCGACAACAGCGTCCCAAATGGGCATCTGTGGCCGGACTTTTGAAGCATGGCGGTCGGGGGGAGTCGAAGCGTCTTCGAAGGAATGTAATCCTTGGCGTCAACGCAGGCTCAGATTGGTCTCGGCTCCTGAAGAAAGACCTAGCTCTGAGTGAAGTAGCATCGCCAGGTCTATACAGCCGTGATCAGGAGCATGGTGCCTGGTGAAGGATTTGCATGTGGTAGAGCTGGCTGGCTTTTGATCATCAGGGGGTGGGACTCCATTGGATTGTAGTGCAGGATGCAGCTTGCAGGCCCCTGCCAGGTGCTCAGGTGAGTCGGCGCCACGACGCGGGATGGGAGATTGAAGATCCTCGAACAACGCGGGGTCGGCCCGTCTTGGAGTAAGGAAGATTTACCGGTACTTCAACTGGTGATTCCAGTTTACGAAGTGGCAGTTTGAACCGAATCCACCAGCGGCCGGCCTCACATTTCCAATCCTGTGGGCCATTCAACGCCGCAAAACTCCTCGCCCTCATGATTATTGATATGGGGAAAGCCAAGCAGTGATTCCGCACAGCGCTTGACGTCTGAATGAGATCATCCAATGATGACGGGGAACCATGATCACCAACTGACTCACAGGAGCGGGGAAATCTCGATCACACAAACCACACGACTATCCATAGCTGAATCGCGAGACTTACTTTCTGGCCCTAACAGATCTGCATCGCTCTGAAGAGCCGTCCTTCAAAACCTAGATGAGGCAGTGAGCCTACAGCAGCTCACTTCGCTGGCTTGCAAAACATTCATCAAACGCTTCGTACTAGGTTCGCACCTATACTTTACCGTGGACGACGAATTCAGCTCCAACATCGCTGTGGTCCGTGGCGGCCTCTTGCCCGAGAGACCAATGTCACAATCATGGACGAGAGCATGGGGGGCTGCAATGCCCAATTCATTTTCATGGATTAATGCTGCATTCGAGAATTCAAAATTCCATCATGATTTACGCCGTTGCTCCGTGAAGCGATAGAAGGAGATTCGCAAAGACCTGCCTGGCCTGCCACTCTCATGGTGCTAAAACCTCCAATGGCATATGCCGCCGAAGACCTTGCACAATACCAGCGGAAGCATTCGGCGTGGGGTTATGATTACCCGAGTCAAGGATAGTGACATAAACAAGATCGAACCAATCTCGAGGAGGCTACAGTGCCAGCATGGGGTCTCCTCACAAGGGAAGAAGGAGCAATCGAGGCTGACGCCGCCGCCGCCCAGCTGATTGATCAGGCTATGGTCATTGGGGCAAAAGTGTTCGAGACCACTGTCTTGGGTTTCCTCAAATAGAGTGGTCGCGATACCGGGGTTCGGGCATTGGCGGGAGGAAAGATCTGTGCCCAGCACGTGGTACTCGCCGATGGTCTTGGCAGTGTGCCCGTACCCGCCGCAGATAACATCAAGCTTTCTCTCAATGGTCGACCGGATTTATTTATCAACACTCATCCCACAACCCGGAAGCTGCTGCAGGTGCACTGCGATGGCGGCAAGCTCCACATGCGTCAGATGAAGGATGGAAGTATCCGGGCCAGTGGTGACTTCTCAGCTGGCAATGTGGGTGAGGATCCTCAAAAAATGGCAGACGAGCTGTTCGCCACGCTCAAACCTAGCTTCAAGAATGGAGATGATCCCGAATTCGGCAATTTCACCATTGGCGTCTGGCCTGATCCTGAGGATCGATATCAGATTTGGATCAACTGATCTTGATGGTTTTACCGTTGCCGTGATGCACTCCGGTGTCACGAATCCTGCTTTTGTCGCACAGCTACTAACACAGCAAATACTGCACAATAACAGCGACCCTATACTCGCCAGCTTGCTACTTGGCCACCTTTTTATTGGTGACAAGATGCTTGACAACTAGGCAAGGAAGTTGTCATCTTGGTGGGGGGGGCGTAAATGGCGCTGAAGCGTTATAGCTGCGCAGATCTGTACGTTGCGTGTCTTGAGCATGCCATGACGAGAGCTTTTTGAAGCCGCCCTGCTAACCACAGCTCGGAACCTAGTCGTATTCTACATGTACAAATCAACTCCCTTCCTCCGTAGCTCCTCAGTGAACGCATTCAGAACCACCCTACGAGTTTGCACGTGAGAGCTTTGCTTTGACCTTGGCATCATCACCTACTGAAACCGGGCAGGTTGTATTGGTGTGGCTTAGCGATAAGATGATAAGGAGTGCCTGATCAGGGGAACGGACATTAGGTAGACTCGTGGCGAGGGCATCCGAGGAGGGAATCATCAATCTAACATCACACTTTGAAGCACCTATCTTTTTCTCAAGTGACTGTCGACATTGCCCTGATCAGAGGGGATCTTTGCTCACCCCACTTCCCTACCTTCAATTGTCCAATGAGCTGCAATTGCTGACGAAGGGAGAAGATTCAATTTCGTGCAAATGCCTTGGACTGGCATATGCGAAGATGCTTCCCCATCGTTGTTTGACACCATTAGTACTGCATAGTTTTGGGGTTCAATGCATTTTTGTAAAAGTACGAAATTGTTTAGAGCCAGTCTAGGCCAAGGCGTTTTGGAGGTTTACTTCTGGTCCTGACCGAGTGTTCACGTCTAAGCTAACTCATAAAAGACCAGGCTTCTTCGACAAGCCAATGTTGCTTATGGGTCAAATCGATGTGGACTTAATTTGGATTCTTGAATCCAGTTGACCTGAAGAGCGGCAGGAGATGACTTACAATGAGGAACGAAGCTAAGATAAAGGGTGCAATTGTTGAACCAATATTAGGGGATTCCCTAGTGCGGTGATCCCGAGAGGGGATCACCGATATGGTGATCACCAGGGCCACGGATTCACAGCTCCCAGGAGCACGTGAATCACAGCTTAGGTGATCAGGGAATCAGATGTGTATATCTGATTCATATGGGTAGTGTTAATTCAGGGAGAAAGCATCAATCACATCACAAGACTTATATCACCTACCCTACGTATTCAGAGCTCTCAGGCACAGCCAAAGCAATGAACCAGGGTTCATATAAGCAGTGAAGCCCTCTCAACAGCAATTGTACATCTCTGACAGACGCCGACTAAGTGACTCTTCATTTTGTGCAGTCACAGGACGATTAGCACGATGGAAGATCACCATACAACCGGGCCAAAGACAGTAAACGGAAGTGATCGTCTCATGAACACTTCACGGGGGCATAACTTGTGTTTTCTCCGTGTGCGGATTAAACCAGCACTCAATAGGTGTCAAATGGTGAGACAATATCTGCTCGTGCAGTTAATCAATTAATTCGCGACGTTGCCCCGCCACATAGGGTGATCCGCAATCTGGTAGAATGACATGCTTGTGAATTGATGATGGCTGACTCGTCACCAGTGTCGCACCTCTCCCATCCTTCAATTTGCCGGCTGAATGTGCTGCGGCCCGGGCCCTATCGACGGCATTGCCGGATTGCCGGGCACTTTGCAAACGGAGGCTTCGGCTCCTTGGCCCGTTTCATCGACCGTAGCGTTCGGGTTCTTAAAGGCAGCAATGATAGCCAGTATTACGTGACTGCCAGAAGCACGACGACCTATCCCTCCATGATGAAGTTCCTCGCCACCGCAAGCGCCGCTTTCTCGCTGGTCTCGCAGTGCCATTCCGCAGTTCTTTGGGACGGCCGTTTCAATGACCTGACGTCATCCACTGATCTCGATAAATGGAGCTGGGCGACGCAGGTCGGCCCTTACCAGTACTACATTCATGGGAGCGGACCTGTTACTGAGTATGTAAACTTGTCGCCAAGTTACAAGAACCCAGCCGACTCTGGGTCCAAACAGGGTGTCAAGATCTCGCTCACCGACACGGCGTACTGGAATGGCCAGAATATGCGGCGCACCGAATTGATCCCGCAAACGAGCGCAGCCATCAACAAAGGGAAAGTGTTTTACCACTTCAGCATCAAACGCAGTGACGTCAATCCGCCAGCGACGACTCGGGAACACCAAATAGCCTTCTTTGAAAGCCACTTCACCGAACTCAAATCAGGCTGGCTCAGCGGCGCCGCTGGAACATCCGACCCGCTTTTGAGATGGTGCGTTGGTGGACAGACCCACTGGAGCGTCAACTGGGATGCCGATGTTTGGCACAACGTCGCCTATGAAATTGATTTCAGTGCTGGCACTGTCGGCTTCTGGCACTCAACTGGCGCTAGCTCTTTGACCAGAGTCAATGCGCCCGTTGCGGCTTCAACATCGAGCAACGGCGCCGATTGGCACCTCGGTGTTCTTGAGCTCCCGCGCAGTGGTTATCCGGACGCGCCTGAAGATATTTACTTTTCAGGTGTCTACATCGAAGACGGAACAATCACGACATCTGTCGCCGGCCCCGGATCCTCTAGTGAGTAGTCAGGGTCAGATGTTGCCTGCGAGTTTCCCTAACACGGTGTCAAAGGTCCTGAGCCCCCCGTCAGCCCTGTCAGTTCGTTACGATCGTCAACCTCTTCGGTTGCATCGACAAGGTCAACCACGCCTGTAACTGCTCCGACTACTCTCCGAACTTCGTCAACAACGTCCAAGCCAGCTCCCACACCCGTCACGACAGCCGCGCCTCCGCCTCCAGTAGCCGGAGCAGGTCAGTGGCAACAATGTGGTGGAAGTGGTCACACTGGCCCGACCGCTTGTGTCGTCCCTTATACATGCTCAACACTTAACCCGTGGTATGCGCAATGCCTCTGAGTGGAACCTACCTATTCCAAGAATTGAGATTGAAATCACTTCGTACGCTTGTCTATTTTCTCGTGTGTTTCCGCAACTCGTTATCCTAAGGTGTCCATGTGAGCCTTCAACAGCAGGACAGAATCAAACCAAGATCTTTCAGTTTTGATACTCATTCATCATAAATTTCGCAATCACTATTATTATAGTCCTCAGCGGCACGCGGTAGCCTTCAACAGCGGACATCGTCTAAAGATGACTCCTCTATTCTGGTTATTCCCCCACCACAAACAAAAGAAGGATGATCCACCCGGTTCCTCTGTCTTGAGGTATTAACCAGGAGGACCATGTAATCCCCATTGATGGGTAGGGGGGCTCTCCGCAGATTGGAGGCCCTCCATATCAAGCTATCTCAAGTCAAGCCCTAAGACGGTCAACCAGGTTTATTCATCATGTGCCCTATAAGTTGTTTCGCGTAGAGGATTGGGAGCTTGCTAAAGAACAGTTAAAGTGACAGAGCTTCCATCGGTCGGTCATCAACGGATCGAATGTGACCTAGACAGCATCACTACTCTGCTTCGTCGTCGATGATCGGCCTCCCACGCCCATCTGGTAGATATGATACATCTCAACCAGTGATCAATTCATAGCGAGCCACAGGTGTCCAGCGCTTTTCGACTTCTTGCGCCATCTTTCGTTGCCATTGGTTATGATGACTGAATGTCTCCTCGGCGTGCAGGGTTTGGTGCCTTCAGTTCCGCAGGCACCTCTGGCGACCAGGCTGCCACGAAGTAGAACTGGATAAGATCGACAGAATCAAACCCCTCAGTTCTTCGGCCTTACCCCTCCACACTCTTTCGTCCCTGGGCATTTCTTGCCTAGGTAGAGGCGGGGGCGGGGCGTTTGGCTTGGCCTTTGGCGGGGTTGGGGCCTCGAGAAACGATGGGACTATCAAAAGACCGTGAGAAGGGAAATCTGCTCTGTAGCAAAGGTGCCACACCGTACGCTCTCGGACCGCAACTACCTCGAACGACTTTAGTTGGATGTCACTCTCCTGAACAAGGCCAGGCCGCATACCCCGCTAAAAAGGTGACAACTATGTATATGATGCACTGAGCAGGAGGCGAGGTCCCCTGCGCGTGCGGATCCTTTGGCAGGGAAACAAGTTCAGGTCCTTGCTGCAAGACGATTCTCACCAATGAAGTGCTCGGCATACCTCAAGTGCGCGGTCAACTCGGGCTCACGGCGCCTCGGCTTTGTGGAGCACCCAAGCCATGGGCCGGCAAGCGGACGGGCGTCCGGTCGGTGATGATTGGGCCCACAAGACGCAATACATTCGCGGAGTGCCCTAGGCAGCTACCTCCGCCCCCTCGACCAGTTCGTGTGCCAATCAACCCCCCTTCTGAGCCGCATCGTACCGTTAGCTTTGCATAGCGTATGCAGCTGCTGAGGGGCGAGGCACTTCGTATGTAGTTGGCCAGTAGCTCATGCAACGATGTAGGTATATCGCGCAACGGGCTAAACTTCAGCGCGAGTGAGTGACGTGAGCTTTCAGCGACCATCATGGAGGGTGGCCATAGGAGCGACACGACTGAGGCGAGATGACAGGGTATACTTATCCCTGGGCGACTTGAGAGGATTGGCACTGTTGCACTACGCGCCGCCATGACGTCTGATGTGACATGAAAAGAGGGCACCGACGTACTCAGATCCGCCGACAAACACTACAGAGGATGCGATGTCCTGAGCTAGGCTGAAGCTCAAGAGTCCGCTCAAATTTGTACAAATAGGCATTCCGAGCCGCCCGATGATCTTCCTAACAGCTTCGAGAGCACCTTTCATACAAACAACACCCTAAGGAAACATTTGTGTCTAGCTTCCTTCATCAACACACGAGAGCTCGACTCGTTTGACTGTGAAGGAGTCTCATTTTGTTAGCCTACCCCAAAAACGCGATACGTGCGATTGATCTTGAACCTACTTTACTGACATCTGAAGAATTCATATCGTTGAAAATCAATTGAGTCATTCTCCCCGCCATGTCGCAGATTGGGCGCAGCTACGGTGCCTCGAATGTTGATGAGATGAAGGCCATCTATGACGACTGGGCCACATCGTACGATAAGGAGCTCGCCGAGGCCGAGCATGATTACGTGGCGCCCGCTGTTGCGACCTCGCATGTGTTGAAGAGCTTGAATGTCAAGCGACTGGGTGATCACGTTGAGATTCTTGACGCTGGCTGCGGCACAGGTCTCGTTGGCGTGGAGCTTGCCAAGGTGGGCGCCAAGCACATCGATGGTGTCGACCTGAGTCCCGGTATGCTTAAGGTAGCCCAGAAGCTCAGAGTATATCGTGCACTGGAGGCAGTCGACCTGTCACAACCTCTGGCACGAGCCAATGCATCGTACGACGTGGTCGTGTGCGTAGGAACAATGACAGAGGGTCACGTCGGCCCTGCTGCCATTGATGAATTTGTGAGGGTACTTAAGAAGGGTGGTTATCTTGTCGCTACCATTCTCTTCTCGATTTGGGAGAATGGCGGTTATGAGAGACGTGTCAAGGAATTGGTCACCGCCGGCAAGGTAGCCTTTGTGAGCGCTAATCTCGAGGACTACCGAAGGGGCGCGGGCGTGCAGGCTCGTATGCTTGTTCTCCAGGCTCTATAGTTTCATGAATAGAGGGCCATTGGGTGCTGTCAACAATTACATTACATCTTGCTATTTACAACTCTCTTCTCTTTATGTATGTACCTCCCTCACTCTCAAGAAGTGTACATGCAGCTGTCGGGGTTCTTGACCTCAGTGGCACGGGCCGAAATGCCGAGGCAACCCTCGTTACCGCCTGGCTGATTGACACCAGCCGACACCCAGAGACTCCATGCTCCGTCGATGCTGTTAGGACAGGCGATGAAAGCGGCGCCGTTGAGAGTGAGGTCGCCGACCTCATCAAGAACCCATCCAGTACGTTCGCCGTTTCGGGGGGGAGGCTGGGCGCCAGTGGTGTAGCCAAGTTTGCCCTGACCTGTATTGTGGTTAGCACGTCTGTGTGTTGGAGAGGGGCACGGCGCCACATACCCATGCCTGAGCGGTCAGCATACAACTGCTGAGGCGTAGCCGAAGTACTATAGAGGTAGAGACCGCCGTCATCATTCAAGTAAAATGTGGCGCTGCCACCGCTGTTGCCACAGGAGCCGTCGCAAGTGGCGTTCTGGCTGGAAAGATTAAGGAAAAGGCTACCCTGCGCAGCGCTGACATCTGCGAAATGAACGGGGCTGGCGGACCGGAGGGCGAGCAGATTGAACTTGGCGCCGGCAGGAAGGGGCCCGGATGAAGCCGGGAGTGCCGCAGCCGAGGCGGCAGCAGCGAAGAAGGCGGCAGCAAGGTTGTGGAAGTGCATGGTTGCAAAATGTTATCTTTGGTGAATTTCGGTCGGATTGAAACGAACTCCAGAGGATAAGGTATGAGACATATAGATTGGCCGGCAGTGCAGACATGTTGCAAATTCTCTCTCTATATACTTCAGAGGCGTGCACGCCGCCGGAAGGGCGGAATGTGTTGTCTTGTGGGCTCCACGATGATCTTCTCGTAATGCCGGCACTGGCGAGCCGACCCCGATCGACGGTAGACTAGTGGGGCTCAGAGGCACAATACGAGAAGCTTCGGACCTTGTCTGGAAGGAATCGTCCCTCGTATTGCCCTTCTACGTCACGCAGTCGGGAACTAGTCATGTCATGGGCTTAGAGCCCCAGATTTCCCTGCGTCAGGCGGCTTGGGTAGTCTTGTTAGTGTGGGGTAGGCGTGTTGAAATGCTGGAAAGTCGTGATGAATGATTTCATGGACTAGAATTTGAATGTGGCTCTATAAATAGCCCATCACCTGTGGGGATAGGGCCGACAACTGCAGCTGACTTCTGGTCCGAGATCAGCGTAACATATACGACAAAAACATGCGAGGCGCTAAGTGTCACGGAGCAGAAGGTTCGGGGCACTGGCTTTCCCGAATGCTGATTGAAGCCAATCCCGCTTGCTTGGATTGGAAATTCGAGTAAGAAATCGTGATTGACATCGACGATAAATGACATAGGTTTATGAGCTGATTATGGTACGGATCGTCGACTACGTGGTCATACCCCGGGAGAACTGGCTAGATCGTGCAATTCCGGCCGAGCTCTGACCCTCAGTCGACCACTCACACCACATCAACACGCGACGGGCAATCAAACTACTGGAAATCCGAGGATCACGTCCGCTGCCTTGTCGACAATACCAAATTACTGACTCTGGATGTCGGCATCGCTGCGCGACTGATATTTGGCGATATCAGCCTGACTCCGAACTGGCGGTGCCAAACGACTTGAGTTCCTGTCTAATGCACTAGTGCGCGGATGGTCAAAGCGAACAGGTCTAACTTCTTTGGCGTCAACTCAAACCATGGATGGGGCAACCTGCAGTGGCAAAAGTCCTCGGGTCGCCATGCTGCTCTTCAACGCCTAGACGGGTGCTTGCCAATATCATTGATACTTACGTCACTAGAGCTGAGAGGAATGGGTAAATGAATATCGTGATGGCAATTGGAGAGAGACTTGAGAAGTACCCAGGAGAACACTAGAATTTAACCAGGGGATGAATCCATGTAGCCCAGCTTGTCTGTAACCATCCCGGACTACGACTTTCTTGGCTATGTCTAGCCTCCGGAAAGGCGCTTGTTCGGTGAATGACCCAGAGCACATTTACCCACCAAACTGATCTCACTTCTTCATTGAAGCAAGGCCCATATACCAGTGAAAGTTGAGCGATAAGAGAATTGCACGCTGCCGAAAGAGACTTGTCAAAAGGAATCAGCCGCGTTATTCAAAAGGTTTGACCAAAGCTTAGCGTCTGTCAGATTGAGGAAGGCCTTCAGCAGCAGTGTGCTCCACTTCTCCCAAGGCAACATCGTTACCTTGCTTTTTGGTGTCATTGTCCCAAGACGAGGTGGGTTTCCATTGAGCAGACTTGCGGGCGTCGCGAACTTCCTCGTACAGCTGGTCCACTTCTTCCAGACTGAGTCCCTTTGTCTCATAGATCATGAGCCAGACGAAAATGATGCAGATAAAGCAGGCGCCGAACCATACGAAGAAGATCTTAGACTGTAGATTGGCGTAACCTTCCCCATAGTTGACGAGGTATGGGGTAGAATAAGCGATGGCCCAGTTCAGTAGCCAATTGGTGGCCGTGGTGATGCTGAGTGACTTAGCGCGCGTCTTGAGGGGAAAGATCTCGCCTGTGACTACCCAGGCCAAGGGTCCCCAAGTCGACGCAAAGAAAAATATGTAAATGCAGACGAAGGACACAGCAGCCTTCTGCCCTCCCAGGCTTTTTACAAAGATTTCGCCGTTTTCGTGCTGGCCCGACGAAACCGTACCCGAAACAGCGACAATCAGCTGCGAGACGCACATGCCGATAGCGCCCCAAAGTAGAAGCGGTCTTCGCCCCCATTTATCAACCGCATACATGCCAGGGATGGTGGATGCAACATTGATGGCGGACGTGATCATCGAGACGGTGAACCCGCTCGACACTCCAGAGTTCTCGAAGTATTTGGTGCCATAGTAGAAGATAAAGTTTATGCCTGCGCTGAGTTAGCGGTGTATATAATCACGACCCTATAGCGACTCAAACTTTGGTATTCATGGTAGATGAACATACCAGTCAGTTGCTGCAAGGCTTGCAAAGCCATGCCGGTGAGCTGCCTTTTGAGGATAGGGGGCCTGAAGCAGTCAAGATACGAGCCCTGGCCCATGCGCATCTCAAACTCGTGGTTCGCGTGAACTTCGGCCAGTTCTGCCACAATGGCTTGATGATCCGTAGGCAGGCGTCGAAGACGGCTCAGCGACTTCGCGGCTTGCTCGGCATTATCCTTCTTAATCAAGAAGCGTGGTGTTTCGGGAAGAATGAGCAAGCCAGAGAAAAGGATAAGAGACCATGCCAATTGAATGGCAATAGGGATGCGATACGATCCAGAGTCATCACGGCGTGCCGTGGCATTATTGACAACAGCCGCAAGCAGGAGGCCAATAGTGATTGCCCATTGATAAGCTCCGACGATAAATCCACGAATCCACTTGGGAGCTGTCTCGGACTGATAAAGAGGAACTGTGGCATCTGATGTTAGTAGCAATTATTGACTACTGTCGTCCAGGAACACAGCGGTTAAGCAGCCGACTTACTCATGGCAGATATGAGACCAACGCCTAGACCAGCAAAGAAGCGACCGGCTAAGAACAGCGGAATAGACGTAGCAATTGTGTGAAGTACGACGCCTAGGTTGAAAACCCAAGTCGAGATCATCAACCCCATGCGACGGCCGATATAATCCGAGAGGAGGGGAGAAAACAGGGCGCCGAAGAACGTGCCAGCAGAAAGAATGGACACAATGGCAGATTCTTGAGATGTGGTGATATTCGGGTTGCCTTCCGCATCCACATGGCCGGTGCTGAAAAGCTGTTGCCAGTATGGCATCGCCAAAATGCCACTGATGGTGCCTGTGTCGTACCTTTCACAAGATCCAAGTCAGCGTAGTGTTTCCGATGAGGGTAGCCTCCGGCCTCTAGAGATTAACTCACCCGAATAAAACACCGCCAAACGCAACGAACAAGCCGACGCCAATCGCAGGCCATGCTTTACCGGCTTCATTCTCCGGTCTGGAAAGAGAAAGACCTTTGAGTAAGCTCATCGTAGATGCAATTCAACAAGTGGAAATAAATCGTTGAGAGGCGGTGCGTTGAGAGGCGGTGGGCTTCCAGTAAAAGGAGACAGAAGTTCTCATAGAGGTTTTTATCAACAACCAAAGTCAGTTGATCCGAGTAGATATCAATGCTCGTCATCTGCCAGAGTGCAGAGCTGGTCACCTTTTTATGCTTCGGATGATATTGTTCCCAGGCGTGGACATATTCGAGAAGCTCATTATCTCAAGCACTTCGGCATCGCCGAAAATCACATGGTCGTGTCTTCGGTCTTGCATAGTCCTCCATGATACCACAACACCATAACTAGCTGATTGTTGGTGGAGTGGCATTGGGGCTCAGAGAGGATCAAGCTGATTTGAAACCCCCTGCTCGCCAATGTCAGGCTTCGTCTATCCACTCTCTGGGGAATGACCACGAATGACAGGTGGTAATGTTGACGCTGGAGTTTGGAAAGGAGCTTTTCTCGCTGAATTAATGAAGGGTGCAATGACATCCACCCGAGAGGCCTGGTACCGCCATGGCAATCGCGGATGTACCATCGCCCATGAGCCGAATGCGTGATAATCATCCTGCACCCTCAACCCATCCGCGGATGCCTCGGTAGCTGTAGTGACGCCTTGTACTACTTGAAAACGTCCAATGAGGGCGCAGAGATTCAAGCAAAGATGGATCTGGAGGTTCTGTGACCTCTCATTTGGCCGGACTGACAACGTCAAGCAAGCAGCTCTAGCGATCGCACCAAGGCATGCTAAGTCGGACTATAGAAGCCATGCATGAGGACGCCCGTTTGTTCCTTCAAGCTGTGCACTGTCTAGCCTTACAGCTGGATCGTCCAACGATTGATTGTAGATCATCCCCCGCTCCCCTTGAAAGATGGCACCATTCGATTGCGGGGATTTGCGGACGGGGGGTTTTTCATCGGCTTACTGGTTGACACGAAAGAGTCAAGACTCCAGGCGCTCCTTCTAGCGCCTTTCTAGAGCCCTTCTAGCGCTATTCCCCCATGCTTCGCGAACAAAATATCCCGCAAATGTGCCAGGGGCTATCTCATGCATCCTCCACGGCTAACTCCAACCGAACATCTGATAGGGCGCCATTGATGACTGGTCGAGTCAGGCGGGTTGTGTGGGAGCATTGAGATATCTGATGTTGATCATGACGAAGAGCGAATGGAGGCTACAGGTGGGCATGGAGGGACGGCGTCCCCGAAATCTAGCCACAAGTAGCAACTCACTTAGAAGATCGCTGGCAGCGGCGATCGACTGCGTCTTCGCGGTGACAGATACAGTAGGTCTGGTAGGTTTCGTGCAATGGAGCAAGATACCCTGTGGCCTAGTTTGTTGCGAAAAGGCGAAAGACGATGTACTGTACATACTGAATTCTGGTCGTGTAGCGATGGACAAGAGCTGGAGGAAGAGCGTTGCGCCCTTTGGCTCATCACTGCTCGAACAAGTTCAATCACACTCTCAACTACCTAGACAGAAACTTTTAACGAACATAAATAAGACATCGTTTCTTCAGAATTTATCTGGTTCTCAAGATACCTCGCACTCACCCACATACCTTATTTTCCTGGCCCAACAGAGTACTCTTTGTATATATCTCATAAGATGAACGACTCAACCAAGTTTTTGAAGCTTTGTTTGGTCATGACCGCTGCCTCTAATGTGCTTGCTGGTCCTGTTCAACCAGAGCGCCATGTCCAAACTTGCAATGGGCTCGTCAACCCTGGCTTCGAGACTGGCAGCCTCGAAGGCTGGCAGGTAGTTGACGGCAACGCATTTGGCAACATCTCAGTCACAGACTCGGTGTCATATTGGGACGGACCGTTTCATCAAGACCAGAAGTACTTCATCTTGGGCACCGCCCAGGCTGGAGAATCTGCCACTGGCAACTTGAAGTCGAGCTCTTTCCGCGCCACGTCCAAGTTAAGCTTCCTGATTGGCGGAGGTTATGATCCGGATCATCTGTACGTCGGTTTAGTCAGAGACCACGACAACGAGCTTCTCCTGAGGCAGACGGGCATCAACGACGAAGCCCTCATTCGGATCATCTGGGACACGAGCGAGTGGGCCGGCCAACAGGTACACATTATTGTCCACGACAGTAGCATGGAGGAGTCATGGGGCCATATCAACTTTGACGACCTACGAATTGGGCGCCATGCTCTTGGCAACGGTCCAGGTCAGACCTTCCATGTAATCGGACAGTCGAACCAACCTTCGGGTGACAGTTCGCCAGCATGTTCTTTGTATGCCGAGGACCCAATCCGTCCACAGTATCACTACACCCCGTACCAGGGGTGGATCAACGATCCTGCCGGACTTTCTCAATGGAACGGACACCACCATCTCTTCAGCCAATTCTTTCCCGACTCTCCTTTCTGGGGACCCATGCACTGGGCTCACGCAGAGAGTACCGATGCTGTACACTGGCGCACGCTGCCGGATGCGCTCTCGCCGAAGAGGACTGAGATCCCAGGAGATGATTCAGGACGGTTCACTGGAAGTGCAATGATTCACGAAGATGAACTACATCTTGTCTTCACGGAATACGTTGATGTGCGGGCCCACCCGCATGCCGTGCAAGAGACCGTCGATGTCTCAAGTAGCGAAGACGGCATCAACTTCAAGCCTTACGCTCACAATCCGGTCGTTCCTGGCCCTCCCGACGGAGCTCCTGTTTTTTTCCGTGATCCCAAGGTGTTCTATGACCCGACGGACAACTCTTGGAAGATGGTCGTTGGTGCAACAAACAGCGTTGACGGGCAGGTGCAGCTGTACCGTTCCATCGATGGTCCGTTCTCCTGGTCTCATGTGGGCATCATGTACACTGGAAATGGCAGCACCGGCCCCCTTTGGGAATGTCCCAATTTCTTCCCTCTTGAAGATAAATGGGTTCTCTTTTATGGAGGAAACGGCCTGGGGTGGTACGAGACCGGCACCTTCAACGGATCAGTATTCATTAGTGAGAAGCGAGGTCTCCTCGATGCTGGCCCCGCAAGCTACGCAATGCAGTGGTACAAGGATGAGTCTGGGCGTGATCTCGCCATTACTTGGATGGGCAACTGGCCGACTCCAAAGTGGCCAAGTCGCGCCAACGGCTGGGCAGGACAGCAGTCTATCACCAGAGAGCTATTCCTTCGCGATGACGGAGGTCTGGGTAGCCGCCCCATTCCGGAATTGGCGAGTCTTGCTCAGGGCAAGGTTCAACGATCGGGGCCTGTACTTGTGGGCGATATGGTCCACATCATCGGGAGCTCGAACACGGCCAGAGTAAAGCTCAGCATTGACTTGGGAACCACAACAGCTTCTTCTTTCACGCTGGCTCTGTTCCAGTCGAGTGAGGAATCTACCCTGCTGGCTTATGACGCTGAAAGTCAAACCTTGACCTTGGACACTACGGGTGCGGGCTACGGACAACCTGGGCTGTGGGAAGCCTCGATTACGGTGCCTGTGGAAAACAAATTGACAATGGATATCTTTCTTGACCGTTCGGTCCTGGAGATTTTCATCGGGGACGGCACCGTGTTTTCTGCGAATGTTTTTCCTCGCTACCAGGAGTCTACCGACATTAGCATTGTAGCTAAGGATGGTGTTGTTGCTCTTGAGGCCGCCTCTGTGACGCCGCTCGGCTCGAGCTGGTGTTGAGAACAGTCATTGTCAACAGATTGGGACTATGTCTGGGTTAATATTCCAACAATACGTCTTCATTAGCTCAGCCATCTACTCCTATCAATGCGGGATTTTCTTTAGTGGCCTGACGTCCAGCAACGCTTGATCTGAGTTCACTAACCGAGCATCCTTCATGTGCCGTGCTAAGCTACAGGAAAGTGAGGGGTAGGCCAGGGCAGGGATCGTCGCCTGGGGTATTGAGTCCGGGGTCACAAGGGGGGCCACAAGGGGGGCCACCATTTTGCACGGTGCATCGCCTGCAGAAAGCCACATGCTGTGTGAGTGGCCACCCAACCAAGTCAGACCATTGTCCCAGCTGGTCACCTTTTGGGCGTTTTCAGTACAAAACCACGATCCCCGGCTGGGAATTTCTGAGATGATGAAAATTAAGTCCCCCCTTCTGGGACCTTACAGAGAACTGCAACTGCTATAGAGTCGTTCAACCTTTCGAAATGGCCGGCCTACCCACGCCCGAACAGTTGAAGCCGACCGCTCACGACAAATTGACTCTTGAAGCATGGTCGCAAGGTTTCATGATTGGTGCTCTCATCATCATGCTTGGAATCACGCTCGCAAACATACGAAAGGGGGTCCTCCTGCATAAGCTTATCTTTATAGAGGTAGTCGCCGTGTTCATCCCAGTGCACTTTTCGGATTGTTTACTAAGACTGAAGCAGCTCATACTTGCGGTCCCTAACGGATTTTTCATCTTTTTCGAGCCACCGGTCTATGGCTGGTTTCTTTCATCGACAGTCATTATGTTGCTCGCGTCTTGGACTCTGCACAATGTTATCGCGTGGATGAAAAGCAAACCTTTTCTGGGACGTCGAGGCAACCTGATTTACATCGGCAGCGTCATCCTGGTTCAGCCCTACTGGATCTTGGAAGTCTATGCGAACTTCGCCTTCTTCAATACCCCCAATAGTCGTCTCTTCGTTACCACCCGGCCTTTTGAAGCAGTCTTTAGGTAATGGCGTCACTCTTTCTTATCCCCGTTGTCGAGTGTATTGAGCTGACACGATGGCGCCAGAGACCCATGGTGGATATTCACCATTGTGAATCTTTTCTGGAATATAAAGTTCCGTTACGAGCTTGACTTCGCCACAGTTGTCAGAGTCTCCCCACGTTTTGGGGTCCTACTTTTCTGCATGATTCTCAGCCTGATTTTCATTGTTGTAGATTTGCTTTCGGTCACACCTGTGATTAACATCGGTGTCATCAATCCTTTCTGGAAGTTTGCTTTCATTTTCAAATGCTTCACCGACAGTATCATTCTTGACGACTTCAAGGCGTCTCTCGACAAACTGAGTCAACATCGTCTAGCCCAGATTCTTCCCTTTAACATCATGGGCAGCGCAGGCTGCGATCACGAGTTTCGCCACAAAGCTGGGGCTCAAAAGGCTATGTGGCTTAGTGGGGGCCAGTTGCAATCTGATCCAAGCCAAGACAACGATGCCCTGTCTAGAACGAAGGAAGTCGAGCTCTTAGACGATGGTGACTTGAGTTATCCACCTCCTATAGTTGTCCGCCACATAGAAGACCGAATCTGAGTTTATTGTTCACTTGATGCATCATAGCCTTAAACAAGACCAATGTGCCGGGCAACGTAACTGCATAATAAGGGCTTATCCAGCGACGGTTTACTTGTGTGAAATATCTCCCAGGATGGCACATGGGCAGCTTCAGATAGCCATATACAGTGCAATATAACGCAATCAAGGTCATCGGCGGGCATACGGTCTCTGCGGCTGTCCACATTTGCATGTGCCCGTGAGTGATGTGTAAGAAGACTCAGCCTCTCAAGTCCAATTTTCACTCACAAGCAGATACCAGAAGTTCATCCCAGCTAAAATTTCCATAAGGGTATCGCCATGCTGATGAATGTTCCTAACTCAAACGCAGCCTGTGCGAGTAGATGGGGATCATGGGCGCTAGAACTATGCATTAGCACTAGCGGAGGCTGAGCGCGGAGGCTTGTCTAGGGTTACGTTTGGTACATTGTGGCAGATTGACATAATCCATGGAAGATTTCAAATCTTTTGTTTTATGAAGTGTGCAGCAGGGTCAAATACAGTTCCGCTATTGATACATACCGAGGACTTGTGTTCGGCTATACTACAGCGTGTCTGGGGCAACTGCGTACTAAATTAGTGGGGATCAAGTGACAGTGTAATCGCGGGATCATCGCCTTCTCGCCATGGGTGACAGCAAGAATCAATCTATCACTCCTACCGACACAGCTTCTGGGCCAAGAATCAGCTTAGTACGCATAAGCGATGCAATTGCCGCGATTTAAAGTCTTCTGGATGTCTTGAGAACTTCAATTGAACCCTACTGGAAAACTTCGCACAAGGAACGTTTGAATTCGAATTGGTTGTGCTCCGAAGGTCGGATGATATGAGAGACGGCTCAGAATCGGTTAAGAGAATGACCCTAATGGACTTGTAGCTATCGGTGCTGAACACCTCCAGAGCTAATGTTTGGCAGATATCCAATCCTCCAATTCCCATCCGTGATTGGTCCGGGCCATTAGCGGAGTAAATCCGCTCGCGGGACCTGGTTGCCAACACGCGACTGCTTAGCGCCGTGGTGACGGAGACAGCGATGGTTGCACCGCTCAGCTTGGAATGGCTGCATCCAACATATGACTCGGTTTACCGTCTTGCGGTAGCAGCCACGTGCACAGGTCTCGGTATGCTCTTTGCCTACTTCAATTCAATTCAACGCTCTTACTGATGCGATACAGCTGCTCGACGACACCGCCCCCTGCCGTTCCTTACGCTTGACGAAACCAAGAGCACCTTCTCATGATCACGAAAGGCGTGATCAGCTTCACCTAGCAACAGTCCGTCGTGGCTGTCTCGAGATCTATAGCTTGCGCGGCTGGGCCTAGAACCCACGGCTCTTTCCTTAAAACGAAAGCGCCAGTGATCCTTCAAAACTTGCTACAGCAGCATGTTCTGATTGCGAACTGGTAGCTCTATACCCCACGTTTCTACCAGTCTCGTTTTGAACCAAGCGCCCAGGATCACATCGCGACGTTGCGCCGTGTCGCATATCACCAGCAACAAGTGTTCGCGATGGCTTCTCCACGTCTGTACTTCATCGACTCTCTGTTTTATTCGCAATCGTAACTCACCGGGTGTCCATAGTCTCCGCTGGCGACGAGGTCCAGTATACCGCCATCATCGATACGATTCTCGCGACTGCCGACCTTACGACCATCACGCGCAAAAAGATACGGGCTGGTCTCGAAAGGGCACTCGGAGGCAAGGACCTCAGTGATCAGAAGGTGTGCGATGCGCACCTCGCTTCTCTCCAACCAGCTACTGACTGACGGCTCTTGTAGGACGCTATCAAGGCCCTGATCGAACAACGCTTTGACCACTTCACAGCTTCGGAACAAGCAGAAGAGGCCGACACACAAGTGAAGACGGAAGCATCACCGCACAACTCGAAATCACAGTACGGCTACCGCGACGAGGCGGCGGGCAGCGATGGGGAGGGAGAGCCCGCTTCAGCGAGGAAAAAGCAGAAGCGAGAAGCCTCCTCGGAGGATGCAGATGCGAAGCTAGCAGCTCAGCTCCAGGCGCAGGAGAATAGCATGGCACGCGGTCGTGCGACACGTGGCGCCAGCGTTCCGAAAAAGAGGAAAGCGCCTAAGAAGAAGAGCAGCAACAAAGTCAAAACAGGCGACGACAGTGATGTTGACGGCAGCGATGGCGCGACGCCCAAGCGCAAGCCCGGCGGCGGTTTTCAGAAGCCCTTCAATCTTAGCTACCCCCTTGCGGAGCTATTGAAGGAGCCTCAGGTGCGATTCGACAGTGGCCCCCCATGCGATGATTCTGCTAACACTTTCAACAGTTGTCGCGTCCCCAGGTCGTGAAGAAACTGTGGGAGCATATCAAAGGCAACAACCTGCAGGATCCGGCCAACAAGCGCCAGATTATATGCGACGCACCTATGGAGGCTGTGTTCAAGCTCCCTAAAGTTGACATGTTTCAAATGAACAAGCTGATCGGCAGCCACCTGTATCCGGTGGAGGAGGAACATTGAAAGAAGTTGATTCTAGGAGCGGTCGCATGGAGACTGATTGGGCATGACAGCGAATCTTTTCGCGATGAATATGGCTGTTCTGTAGAATTCTACAGGCCAGATGAGTTGGCTGGAGGATGAACTGGGGCTTGATAATTCTGAGCTCACGAGCAAAGCTAGAGATGCGGTCTTAGCACAAGACACTGCTCATTGATTTGTCACGCACCATACGCCATAGGATAAGGAATATTTTGTTGCAAGCCTCTTTTTCAACTCATGTCTACTCAGGAATGTCATAATCGGCAAAAGCACCTCGAGTCCAAGGGCCAGGAACTTGCTTCACCTCTATCAGGTCCCTATCATTACATAGTGGCAACAGGCGCTTCATTGCCTCGACACACTGCTTCCGCCATGTCCTTATCTCGTCGCCAATCCCGTAATCCATATCCAAGTATGAAATCAAACACGAACTGATCAACATGACACCAACCACTCTGCGCAATTTTGGCATGATCGCGAGTGCGGCATCAATCGATGCCCACAGGGCATTGGCGCCGTCAGGCTGCTCAGCCGGTTCGAGGGTGTCTGTGCCAATGCCGAGAAAGACATGTTCCACGCTTGCGGGAGCGGATGAAATTGCTGTTGCTGCGGCGGCGAGAACATGCTCGTTATGAGGATGATAGCCGGTTTGAATGCTGAGGTCGACTAGCGAGCGTGCCGAAGACATGTTGATGTTGATGCCTGATTTTGTCAGTCGATTGGATGTTTGGTCGCTTTCGGAGACTGGATAGTCAGAGGTACCTGGGAGTTTGGGCGAGATGGCCAGTGATAGGAGTTTCGGCGCCGCGGCACCGACGAGTTTGGCTATGATCTCATTGTCGCCGCTGTCGAAGACGAGGGTCTTGAGTTCGGTGAGTGACACCTTGGCTAGGCATGGCACAAGATGTTTCCAAGCTAGGCTTTCCGGGCCGCAAAAGATGTTTAGGTAACGAACCCTGTCGAGATGCACAGCATCATTTTACGGTTGTGCCTCGACATGTGCAGAAACTGCAAGATCAAATCTTTCCTTTCCGTCATTCTCGTCGCTCTTCTCTGCATCTTTCGCCAAGACGAGATCTCCGACTCCCAGGAAGCTAATGTTGGGCTGATCGAGCATCCACGGGATAGCATCATCCTCTCGCTCAGTCTTGAGCCACTGAACGATTAATGTTCCCTGTACCTGACTCCTCAAGACCTGCGACCGCTTTTCCTTGGGGAATTGGCTGAGATCCAGGCACCGGATGCTCAATTAATAGATGCAATCAAAGTGACCCATGACCTATACCACAGCGTCCTGCCAGGCCGATGTTTCCTTCTCGTCACGATCCTCAAAATCTTCCGACTCGTCGATAGTGATGCCCTTGATTATACGGGAGATTGATGTACGCTCACCCAAGACTTTGACGAGAAGTTCAGCGCTGTCATCGCGAAGTGTCAGGAGGAGTGTGCTCCAATAAATATCACGACTTGGTGAAAGCCATGCGCGGTGAACAAGGCTGGTCTTGGAGAGATCTTCGCGGGGAAGATGGACAAAACATTGGCGGAGGAGCTCAGGGATGAGTGCTGCGATTGCCATGGTGAGTGATGTTGGGTCTTTGTACTGTGCGGCTGGGACTTGCTGGCGGTTGTCACAGGGTCTCCTTGACGTTTCGACGTCGAGGTTGAATTCTGGAACACTTGGGATAAGAGACACCGACCAAGGCTCTCAGGCCCTTTGTATAGTATTCTAGGTCAGACCAAAAGAAACGCATCATGGCGGTTGGTGTAGCCCTGCATGCTTAGCTCCAACTGGCCGCCGTGGGCCCTGCCATGCGACTGAACGAAGGCAAAGGTGATTCCTGAGGCAGCACCTGCATGAGGCTATCACCAACAGTGCTTACCGAGCTCAGGTACTTGGTGGAAATGTGCACCACATGACGCACTCTTGATCCCTCACCCACCTACGCAATTTTACTGATTCCTAGCGAAATGACATGGAGGCAGAAGCTTTTACGCGCTTCAAGCCCATGTACGCCGACCTTGGTCCCATGTAGGGCCTTGTTCTGGAGAGCGGTCATGACTCCCTGCCGACAAGAGTCAGTCATCGCGTCAAATCGGCTAATTTTCGGCCAGAAGCTTCGATCGGCGAGTGACCCCTCCATCCACCAATCCCCACCCACACCTTCGTCCATCGACCCCACGCTGATAATTTGTGTCTACGACCTAGAAACCTCAAGAGGCAAAAGTACTCGAAACTATTAAGGAAGAAAATCAAAATCACGAAGAGCAAAATTAAGCCCGAAGGCTCGAATTTGGAGCTTCAATTGAAATCAAGCAAGACAGTCTAAACGCTGATCCCACATCTGCAACGCGGTATCATGGCCTCGACTGAAGCTGGGGCCGCTGACAGTACGGCGTCCCGAGGCGGACAACGAAATCGAGGCAGAGGACGTTCGGAAGGCGGCGCATCAAGAGGTGGCAACAGCCCTTCTCGAGGCCGAGGTCAGCGAACGCGAGGACGCGGCGGCGGCAACCACAATCGCGGCGAAAATCAATCGAAACCCAGCAGTTCGACAGCTCAATCGACGCAAGATGTCACTCCGCCAACCCAGGGGAACGCTCCACCTCCGACAAGCGATGGCAAGGCGGCAGAGGGTGCTCCCAGTACGTCAGACGGTGACGAGGTGTGCTTTATTTGCGCCGACCCCATCAAGTTCCACTCGATTGCACCTTGCAACCACAAGACATGCCACATTTGCGGCCTTCGTATGAGGGCTCTGTACAAGACAACAGACTGCCCCCATTGCCGAGTGAGTCCTTCCCTCTGTTGCGTTGCAATTCCAAGCTAACATGCTCTTTCCAGACCGCTGCCCCCTTTGTTATTTTTACCGAAGATCCTCTAAAGCGGTATGAAGAATACACCGATAGCGATATTACGAGTCTAGATAACAATATCGGCATCAAATACGCCAGCGAGGAGATTGTTGGCGATACGGTGGTCCTTCTCCGATACAACTGTCCTGCTGACGACTGCGTTTTTGCTGGCTTAGGCTGGCCTGATCTCCACCGCCATGTCCGTTCGGCGCACCAGCGCAAGATGTGTGACCTCTGCACGCGCAATAAGAAGGTTTTCACGCACGAGCACGAGCTCTTCGCGGACAAGGAGCTCGAGAAGCACATGAGACATGGTGACGACAAGCCAGGCGCACTTGACCAGACTGGCTTCAAGGGACACCCGCTCTGTGGCTTCTGCGGACAACGCTTCTACGATGACGACAAACTGTACGACCACTGCCGTGAGAAGCATGAGAGGTGTTTTATCTGCGACCGGAGAGACTCGCGACACCCGCATTACTACCTCAACTACCAAGCTCTCGAGCAGCACTTCTCCAAAGATCACTACCCGTGCCTTGATCGCGAATGCCAGGAGCGCAAGTTCGTCGTCTTTGAATCCGAGCTCGATCTCAAGGCCCACCAACTGAGTGAACATGGGAACACCTTGTCCAAGGATGTTAGAAGAGACGCAAGGATCGTTGACATGGCTGGATTCGACTTCCGGCCCGCATACCAAGAGGAGCGGAGAGGTGGTGGCGCCAACAGGAGGGAAGGCCGTGCAGGTCGTGGACGAGGGCGCGATCCCAACGCCGAGCCATTACCTCAGAGTTCGGCGCAACCGATGCGGCGCGATGAGATAGCTTACCAGAGGCAACTTGCCATTCACTCAGCACAGTCAGTGAGCAACCGTACGTTTGGCGGACAACTGTCAGCAGCGCCGCCGGCTGCGACTGCTACTCGTCAAACTGGTGCCACTGCCCGACCTGCGAACGCCGTCTCTTCCGCATCGCAACAACAATCCGAGGCCGCAGACGCCTTGGGTCAGCTGACAATAGACCCTGCGACCGCGACGCCGGCAGACCGCGCCCGCATGGCTCGCCACAGTTCCGTTATTGAGCGTGCTTCGAACCTGCTTGGCCAAGATCAGGCCAAGATGAACACCTTTCGCCAACATATCTCCTCCTACCGTCAGAACAAGATGACGGCGCCGCACTTGATTGACGCCTTCTTCTCACTATTTGTCGACACATCGTCTAATGCCCTGGGCACACTGGTCCGCGAGGTGGCCGACCTGTTCGAGGACCAGACGAAAGCACGGGGAATTCAGAAGGCCTGGCAGGACTGGCGCGCCATCAACGAGGATTATCCGTCCCTTCCCGGTCTCGGCGGCATGCAGGGCGCAACGACCTCATCGAGCGGCTGGGCGTCCGCTGCCACGGCTTCGGCAGTGACGCCTTCGGCCGCTCCTAGCCAGAACCAGAAGCACTCGAACCGTGTTCTCCGCCTCAAAAACAGCACGCGTAGGGCCAGCGCCGGCGGCATCAGCAGCGGGCCTACCTCCTCCACATCTAACCGCCGGCACCAGCTGGTCCGCGGCACCGGTGTCAAGAGCCCCGCCCTCTTCCAATGGCGGTCCCCTTCCCTGGCTGCCGCCGCTGCGACATCTGCTTCTTCTACTTCGTCGGCATCAACGTCGCGTCCGTCATGGATCGGCCCCAACAACCATGCTCAGGGCAAACACAAAAAGCCAAGGCGCGAGTCGGCAACACTCCAGATAACTTCCCCGCTCTGCCAGCGGCGGCGAAGCCCCAGACAACTATCTTTGGGTATGGTACGGGCCGTGGCGTCCGTCGAGACTTCGGAGTTACGCGGGATACGGGCTTCAGCTGGGGATCGGGGGCAGAAGGCAGTGCCGATGTCAGCGCCAACCCTTCCGAGCGAGAGGACGAGGGGGGCGAGAGTGCCGGGGGTAAGAAGAAAAAGGGGAACAAGGGTAAGAAGGTCCTAGTGCAGTGGGGTTAGTGAAGGACATGTCAAGCGTCGAGCATACAGCGTCGATTTGATGAAAATGGAGTTCTCGTGTTGTCGGTCCATTCTACACGAGCTAAATATACCAGAGTCTACGGGCCAACTACAAACACCGAAGACTTCACGCCATGAAAGGTGATGGTAGACATCTCTAAAACACTGTGTTCAGCAGCGGCCCTCAGAGGCCCGCGGGTTCGTAGTACTCCCTAAAGCGATCCGTCGAATCCCATCTCACATCCCACACCACGTTCCAGCACGCCAGAAGCAGCCCCGGAAACTTGACGGTCCAGAACGCCAAGTACCCCTCAGGCAGCGGGCCGACAGCACGTTTGAGAGTGTCGGGCATGTCTTCGTAATGGTTTCTCTTGTTTCGAAGCGCCCGGAGGAGGTCCAAAAGCCGTGAACCGGTGTACTTGCGCTGCTTGCCCAATGAATCTACGAACTCGCGCGGGAGGTGGCGGAGAAAGTCGCCCCGCGTGACGTCTGGGGCGTGAGACTCCAATTCGCTGAGGTGAGCGCTAGGCGGGTCGCGCGGTTCCTTCTCAAAGTGGTCGGACACGTCACACAGGAAAGCCAGTCTCTTCTTGGCCGACCAAAAGAAGGGATGGGCCATAACATCACGTGTTGATGGCCGTGACTTCGGATCCCCGTTGAGCATGCTGCCGATGAGGTCCTTGGCCTCATACGCAAAGTCCCCGAGAGCGTCCAGCGGCGCCAGGTTGTAGTTGCCCTTGCGAATGTTCACCTCTCGCATATACCTGTCGCCGCAGTCGAAAGGATGTAATCCGTTTGTCAAAACATAGTAAAAGACCAGGCCCAGACTGAAAATGTCAATGGACCGCGTAGCGCGGCGGTTGGGCAGCATCTCCGAGTTGACTAGAACAGTGCCAGACCCGCTGTTGATGCTGACATCCGTGAGGGGATCCTTGTCATCGTCGACGAGAAGTTCAGGAGCTCGCCAGCCCGTGGTGCCGGCGGCCCGTCCGGTAGTGGCACCGAAAGACGACTGGCCACCCTCGAGCTTCTTACAAAGGCCGAAGTCGGAGACGAGCAGGCGAGGGCGGCCATCCTTGCCAGTATTGACCAGGATGTTCTGCGGCTTTAAGTCCCTGTGAACGATGCGAAGGTTATGCAGATGGTCGATGCCATTTGTGATCTGATAGAGGACGCCAGGCAAATCGGCCCTACCAGCGGCAGCCACCTTGGGGAAACGACCAGGCCGCTCAACAACGTCAGCAAGGGACGCCGCGCAGCGCTCGAGGGCAATGTAGAGGAAGCCATCACGGAATTCTTGTGCGTAATATCGAATGACTGGACACTGTCAGCGGTCGGCTACGTGATGACGTACATTGTACTTACCATTCGGATGGTCATCGCTCTCGCGAAGGAGACGTGTTTCTTGTGACGCAATGTCGTAAAACTGGATGAGCATGCGCTTGACAGCGACCTCGCGACCATCGAACTTGCCAGCGAAGACAAGTGTTCCGTTGCTGCCTGTGCCAAGCTGGTTATCCGTGTCCACCTCGATGTTGCCCAACTTGATAACGGGGCCGGTGACAGATTGCATATCGTTGGCAACAGTGACGACATCGGGCTCTAGCTTTGGTGATCCTCCCAGCTTCTGGGCGTTTTTGACGGCATCCTCGACGGTGGTGGCAGGTGGATCATCGTCACGAGACTGAGACATTTCGCGTTTCTTCGCGGCACCTTTGCGATGCTTCACACCGCCCCTCCTGCCACGATGTGCCTTGGCCTTCTTCTTCTCGGCAGGTGTGCCCGGCTCGAGCTCAGTCTTGCTGGAAGATTCTTTCGACTCAGGCGAATCGGAAGCTTGAGTGGCTAGAGCCTCCCCATCATCTTCTTTCTTGTCGCGGCTCTCTGTAGCAGATGGGGCTGGGCCTTCGTTGTCTGTCGTGGAAGCAATATCATCTGCCTGGACAGGCGGTACCTCTCTTGCCTGGGTTTGGGCAGACTCCATTGGAGCAACATTGTCGTCCGACTTGCCAATGAGATCATCCGACTTCGACAGGGGCAGGATCCTGTCATCGATGGAATGGTTGGGCGTTGGTTCAGGCGTCGGATCGCCAGCTTCAGAACGGTGGTCGTGCTGGAGCAGCCATTTGTTGGACTTGTTCTTGTACCACCGTATCAGATCCTTGTGATAGAAGAAGAAGGCGCCAACAAGAACGATGATAAGAACAGGATTGCTCAGCAGATCGCGAACGCTATTAGCGGCCTGCTGAGGGATAGATTTGACCTTTTCTACAATGTTGTGCGGATCAAGAGGGTCAAGGATCTCGTCAGGCACCACGGAGGGCAAGGTGGCATCATCCTGAGAGTCCATGGCAGGATGCGAGATGGGGCTGCCTGGTAGGGTCGGCGGCTGCACTTGGCCGCGGTCGTGGTTGGCCTGCTTGAAGTTATGCCTCCCAATCATGGCGTCGGCCTTTTGGCTTTGAGTAAGACGACTCCAAGGCCGGTTGAACGAGCCCCAGTCAGACCGCGATGTCAATGCTGGTGGCGAGTCGACGATCAAGGGATAGGAGTAGCCAGAGAGGGCATACCAGCTGCCAGCATCGGTCTGGTTCAGGAAGACATGGCTGCCCCGCATACGAGCCGTGACCTCGTCCTTGGGAGCAGGGATGGGTTGGGGGAGAACCAACAAGTCTGGGTTCTTGTCAGGTGTGGCACCCCAGGGGCGACATACGTCGAAGACACGAGCAACAGGTGCTGCGAATTGGTGGCTAAAGAGCGGTTGGTCCTCGGGATCAAAGGCGTAGACACGACCATCATGGCGGCTGCTGTGATAGCGGTTATCCAGCGTTCGGCTGTATGAGTCGACGAGGTCTTTATCAAAATTATTAGGCGTCCATTCAGAGTAATTGAGCTTGGCAATGGCGCGTCCATCTTTGCGCGTGATGGCCACTTCGTACTCTGTACGACCGAGTGTGATGGTCCCCATGACGCTGCACTCTTCCGAATCAACATCAGAGAGGGCATTGGGCCGCAGGCAGCTCTCCTCATTAATGTGCGATCCGGTGGACCCGAACCACTTGAGAACCCTGCCAGTCGCGGCGTCGATGGTGATCATGGTCGTCTTCTTGGCGCCAGTATAGATCACGGGTGGGTCGTCGTTGGCGAGGGGGGATAGGTCCTCAACGAGGCGCTTCATGGGTGAGCCCAGTAGGCACGAGCGCAGGCTCGCTGGCGCCAGTCATCCAGATGTAGAGACTGCCGTCGCGGGTGGGCTCGACAGCCCATATGTAATGGTCGACGTCTTGATGGTCCTCGTCGAGGTCCGACGCGTTCAGTCGGAAGTGCTCTGTCTGGACCATGGGTTGCTCGACCTCAAGGTGCCACCGCTGCGGGCCGGAGCGGCGGTCACTGGCATAGAGGTCCCCATCGACGGTCGCCAATAGTATGAAGTCTTCCACTTCCCATTCCTCCAGACTCCGCGCTCGTTGCGGCGATGAGATGCCAGACCCGCCATTGAGGTGGGCGCTGGGTCGATATCCGGGGGAAGGTGCTCGCACGGACTGAGCCGGAGCCAAAGTTGCGACGGCGCGCGCATCGTTCTTGTTTTTCTTGGTGTTGATAATTATGTTTCTCTTCTTCTTGTTGTTGTTATTGTTGTTGTTATCATCCATGACCGTGTCCTCGCGTTGTTTCGAGGTCAGGGCGTCGGCAGCAGCGACGTCATTGTCAGTCTCGGCCCAGACATCGCCAGCCAGGGCATCAAAACCTTCGTGCCCGTGAGCGCTGCGGGCATTGTGCTGCGGATCGGCATGCCGTACGTGGTGCAGTGACTGCGCACCGGCCTGTTGCTGCTGTTGCTGTTGGCCTTCGACGAGCGGCAGACATGTCAGGAAGAGGACGGCAAGGGCGAGGAGAGATTTTCGCTGTTGGGCTCCGGACCGCCCTTCGCCTGGTGGTCGTCGGAGCATGGTGCGGTTCGATGGATTATCGAGTCACATTTAGGCCTGGTGGGATGGGAGGTGCTCGCGTCGAGACATAGAGGTTGTGCGGTTGCGTTTGGTCAAGAGGGTGGTGAGTGAGTCCGGGGAAAGTCGTACGTAAATGGACCCAGAGGGTCGTGGTTTTGGATGGGGAGGGGCTGCGTGTGGATGCAGTTTCCAGGCAGCCTTGCGTGGTTTTGGATGGGCGTCCGTCGTGTTACTGATCAGTGGCCGGGCTTCTTAGGCTTCTATTGATGAAATGCGTTGCTGTCCTCAACTCCAGATGGATGTCGTGCTGGGCAGGATACAATAGAGTTGGGGGAGGGAAGTGGGTGGAATTCCATGGAGGTTGCGGGAGGTCGGTAGAGCTGGGCCTCTTCTCCTTGCGTGTGTGACATGGAGTGAGCCCCCGAACAGTGGCCATCTGTGCTGGAAAGGGAGCCTGCCTTAGGTACCTAGGCGGGTAGGATGTGGAGTGGAGAGGGCGGCGGTTGGCTGATCAGCTCTGGTTTTTCGCCCTGCCGCCGTTTCGTCTTACAGGGTTGGGATCCTGCCACCACGACCACCCGGAGGAAGGGGGGAGGTAGGCGGGAGGGGTGGCCCTGCCTGGGCTCTTGGAGGGTCACACCATGGTGGGGGCTGACGTGGTGCAGCATTCAGGGTGACCGTTCGAGTAACACTGTGACCTGTGATGGCAGATTGCTGCAAAAAGTGCTAGCTAGGCGACAGTGCGAAGGGTGCACATGAAACGAAGACGTGCCCTAAACTTTCGTGGGCGGCTCGTGCACGGGTCTTAGCTTCACGGGTTGGGGTGGAGACTCGGTTCACTGAAGTGCTCATGCACCTGCTCTCCTGGTGAAGATGCTCTCGCACACGTCCTACTGCGTCTTTCACGCAAGCCCCATGTGCGAACCCGCCAGTACCTAGCTGCGGGAGTTGCCATAGGTCCCCACCTTCACCATGTCAAGGCACAACTCCTCCACGAGCAACGGCTGCCATGACTTGCTTTCCGCCTCTTCAAGTCCATGAAAGTGGTTGATCAGCAACCGTAGACTCAGTAGGTCTTTGGCGAGTGTGGCCCATGATTGGACGTTAAGACTTGTATTCAAGCTACGTGTGCGAGCGAGGTGTGCATCGCAGACAGCCAGTCAATATTACATTGATCAGCCGAGTTTTTGTCGCGATGCTCTGTTACTCATGCGAAGTGAAACTATCTGGAATCTTATTGGGCATCGTTTTACGTGCCAACGTAAGGCGGGCGACTATAATGCTGACTCTGGTAAGGTAGCCCGCTGTCTTGAACACATACCTGTACATGTACATGGAGGAAGGAACCTCAAGTGTGAGACTGGTTTGTTGGATTATAATGTCATGCATGCAATCCTTCGATGGTCTAATCTGTGCGCATCAGGGCTCTCCGGGCCGGTGTGCGAAAACTCGAGCACAGCGACACAGCCCTACATTCACCGTTTGTGCGGCATCGCTGGCTGTCTTTTGATCACTACCTACCTTAGGTACCTATGCTAGAGAAGCCACGTCCCGCGTACCATTCAATACCACTTACGACGTTTGACTCCGGTACCCCCACCGATTGGAAGCACCGCCATACACGCAGCGTTTCGGTAACATCGCACTCCCAAACCCCCACGAAAGTGTAGCATCGACCACCCGACCAAAGCATCATTCGTATAATTAAGAAGCACGAGCGCAGCATCTTTGTACCTATCAGCTCAAAAAAAAAAAAAAAAAATGGTCCACATCCCTGGTGGTCACTTCTCAAGTACTTGTCATGGCTGAGCTGATGTAGTAACGCCAACCTATCAGACACGTTGTGTGACTACATTCGGCAAAGCTTTAGCAATTAAGAATGTAAACAGAAACTATGTATAAAGCTAAATGCGTGCTTCCTCATACAGCATACTAATTCTCTCGGTAACCCATCATCGTTCATCTTTATGTCTTTGTTGCTAAGTCCGAGAATCCTGTTTAGGCTGATTGTTACAGCCAATGGACCATTTCAGGCTACCCACAGCTTTCTGCTGAACTTCGTAACCAGCTTCCTTCCATTTCCCACACTTGCCGATTTGGCTGTCTGGCCGCCATGCTATCATGAGGCCTTCACTTTCGAGAAGGCCACGACTTCCATGGCACCTCGGTCTTTACTTTCACCGATGCAGTGCCATCAGAGGCCTCGTCGCAAAGACTCAGCATCTAGCAAAGATGGACTGAGCAAACAGCGTATAGGTGTCGGCGTGGTTAAGGTTCTGAGCGGCGGTCAGGCTCTGCACAAAGTTGTACCCGTAACCACCATAGTCGGAAGTGCCGGCAATCTGGCTCAGGTGTGTCATCTCATGCAGAATGGTCGTCTGTTGGTCCTGAGCATGGCAGCGGCTGCTAGTAGGGGGCATCTGGTTGAAGAATTTGTCGCAGTTGACCATGAAGCTCTGCGAGGACAGCGTATAGGCGATGACACCGGGCTTGCAAGAGTTGTAGACGTCGGTGCAGTGGTATGTCGAGATGCCAGAAGTCGTGGAGCCACACTCCTCTTCAATGCGGCTAAAGACGGCGGCGACACGGCTGCTGACGCTAGAACTGCTGCTCTTGAAGTACTCCTGCAGGCGGGCAGTGTCCGATGTGGCGGCGGCGCGAGCAGCAGATGCTAACGAAGCGCATTTATTGATGGCGGTGATGGTGGCCGAACGGCGGGTGCCGGTGCAGTCGCTGGAGACGGTGGTGCGTTTGGCAATATCCTGAAAGTTCTTGTGGGTGGTGGCGGCCTTGATGCCATCCACCTTGCTGCTGAGGCTGTTGCTGCTGTACGGCAGAACTCCCGAGATGACAGTTGAGTCAAGTTCGGCAGTAGAGAAGGCTCCCTTGGTGAGGATCTCGTAGTCGCCGCCCGCGCTGAGGTCGTGCAACTCAGCAGCATCGAACTCCATCTCGATGGTCTCGCCCGCCTTCACAATCTTGAAGGATTCTTCAGTCAGACCCACAGTCGAGACGGTGAGTCGAATACCATCAAAGGCGAGCTTGGAGTCTGGAACACATTAGTTTCATGAATTTGCTACATATGTCATAGCGGACATACCAACAGAGTAGACCTCGACTTTCTCAACAGCCTTCTCGTCGAGAAAGGTACCAGTAGTGAAGAGCTTGACGGCCTCGGCTCCATTGTTGGTGAGGTAAGCCTTGACACCGGAATTTCCAGAGTTTTCAAGCTTGACCTCGAGGGGTGTATCGCGCTTGTCGAGGTCGACAGAAGCGGCACTCGCCAGCGAGGCCAGGGCGGAAAGACCGGTAAGAAGCTTCATGGCGACGAAGAAAGCGGCGGCAAGGACTATAGAAGAAGTGTTGACTAAAGAGAAGAAGAATAAAGGAGTGACACAGGATGGTAATAGCCGAGGCTGGGTTGCAAGAGAAACTCATCAACACAAGGGATGGACGCTATTTCTTATATACATCGCATCACAAGTGTTGGGCATATGTGCCCGAACAGAATACTCGTACAAAGCACCGTACCGCACCATCCGAGGAGCGCCAGCTATCCCAAGGAAGAGCCTAACGAAATAAGGAAGCCAGAAAGGCGGTGCCCCTGACAAAGACCAAGCCGGCGATAGTGTGGGGGAACAGAACAAACCATGGAGTCGCCGAGGCCACTAGCATCAAGGTCATCGGCAATCTATCCACGGTGGTGGACTCCGGTAGGTCCTCACCGAGTTCCGGCGGTATAACCGCTTAGAGACTCACTTTCAGAACACGATCTTGACTAACCGCTATTGTGCCTTGATGGCTTGAGTATTCATCATCAACTATTATAGATCAGAGTACCGAATCTTCCTGAAGAATCGTGCGCTACCAGCTACTGGAAGTCAATATGGTACCCAAGAGCACTGCACCCTCGCCTCCAGCCCAATCGTCTCATGTGCGCAGCCACTGCGCGCTTCTGGGATGGACAAAGGAGCGGAAACGTGGAACGCCAATCATGTCTCCGACTGGGTGGTCGACTATACTACAAACAAGGGGCTCCCGGGCGGCAGAAGGTCACCCAGACTGATCGACGGGCCAGAGCATGTACATGTAGACTTTGAGACGAAACGCCCCAATGAAGGGGCCATGTCGCTTCCAAATGGACGAAGGATGGACTGAACCGTGCTGGGAAATTCTTCGTCACATGTTTGTCCCCTCCAATGAAGAGCAGGAGTCGCCGCGCAGCACCGTTGACAGATCGGCTGCCAAGCCTTATGTTGCGGAGCCGTCTTGAACCAGCAATAGGAAGCCCGCATGTCAACATGGTGCTGATGGGTCAGAGAAAGACCTCATGGGCGCCAGTTGGTCAAAAGCGCTGTCCGGAAGCATCCAAGCTCCTGTCAAGGGAAGCGCCACTGGGACCGAGGACCAGGAACCGCAACATTTACCCGTATACTCTTTGTTCTTGTTAGCGGCAGCTCAAACAACGGAGCGATCTGGTCTGTCACCGGTGTGCCGGCATCGCCGGATTCCCAGTCAATTGAGACATCAGCGTGGTGGTTAGATAAGATTGCTTATTGCCGAAAAGGCAGAGTCAGTCGATGACGATGAACCCGTCCCTCGGGATCACGATGAATGACGACGAACAACATCGACATGAGTATCATGAGTCGACAGGCGCGCCGCTTACAATTAGTGCAGCACCATACTAGCAGACAGCTGCCAAACATGACGGGGATACAAGTCAAAGCGAGGGCCAGGGACGAGTTTCGGCAGAAGAAACGACCCGGCTCACGTATCTCTAATGTTGTCGTCAAGTATCCCCCATGGTGGGTTCATAATTCTTTCCAGGCGATAGGTGGCCTAGCGAGACGAACCGCAAAAGCCCAAGCTGTGATAACTGTTGTCGCCGTCTCATGAGGAGCCTCACGAACGGAGGTGCAGCCGCGATATAGCGCGGGTGACTGGGGTTCGCCGGCATGAAAGGCGGGAAAGCCGCCGATTGTTGTTGTGGGGAAGCATGCTGTGGTCGAGAGACTGCCGGCGGCGCGTGATTCGGAGATTTGAGGAGCAGGAGTCATGTTTGGGTGTCATGATGATTGGCGTGTGGCGTATCATTGTCGACCTTCCGTTTTCGTGCCGTCGCCCGACAAGGTCGTGTCTCCGATAGGCAACCAGAACAGCCTCCATGGACGATGGGCCACATCATCGACAGTGAGAGGAGCCTTGCCGCCTGCATCGGCATTAGACTGTCGTCTTTGCCCAGGAAGAGCAGGTGTGGGACAAAGGTGGAGTACGAACCCGAATGCCATGCTTCCGGGGGTGTCGAGGGGCCGTTGCTGTGAAGAAAGTAGACAGGTGGTCAGCCACAGAACAAGCTTATCTGGCAGATCAGGGCACCATCGACCTTCTCTCAAACCATCTAAATGCCACCAACCGCCCCATGCTGTTGTCGCTGAACTCGATTTTCTGTTCGCCCCAGCGCTTCACCAAGGCCTACAGATTTCGCCCATAAGATTAGCAGAACTCAACCGCAATTCAACCAGCACCCGAGCTTAGTGCTAGTGCATGTTGGTAGCGTTGTCGATCTGTTCCGTCTTTCCCCATTGGCGACTGGCCTTTGATCGATTTTGGTCAAGAGACGCATTTCCCGACAAATCCTGCGATATTGGGAGACTCCCAACTGAGTGAAAAGAACCTGGCACATCACTATTTCATCCAGGACATTTCCGGCAGAGCCCCGTACTTACCTTGACGTCATCGGGTCGCTAGGCAGCGAGCATAGACATTGTCAGGAGTCAACAGGCCTTCCCCTCCTGCCTTCAGAGTTACATTCCATACTTTCTCATCTTCAGTCCTTGTTACAGCACGGCATGAGCTCCCAAAGCCGCAACAACCCATTCCCCGCTGCTATCATTGTCTTCGCTTTTGTAGCGACCATCACTTCTGGCGCTAGAA